TTTGAACAAATTATTGTAATGAAGGACAAAGATGAAGAAATTCTCACATTTTTCACTGATGAAACTAAAGGACCAAGAAAAGTAGCAATAGTGGGTGGCACAACACAAGAAATAGATCATGCACTAACCAAAGAACATTCGGGTACATGGGGAGGTGAAGAGGCACAGAGTGAATTTAAAGAAGATGTAAAAGATATGTCAGAGGTGTTTTCAGTCACAAACAATGACTTGGATCATTGTGTAGAAGCTATACCTATGGCTAGTCGACCAATATCAGAGGACAATGTCCAGGAGAAATTAAAAATGTTCACATCTTTCACTGATGAAAATAAAGGAGTGATATTGGATGGCACAACACAAGAAATAGACTGTACTAAAGTGAAACACAAGGTCACAGGCAGAGGTAAAGAAATGGCAGGGGAATTTAAGGAAACCCAAGCACCCGTGACTGAAGAACTCCCAATAAAGGATGAGTGGGTAGAGAGAAAGACTTCATATCAGACATCTACAAAAGTGAAGGAGATGTCAGGTATGCTATCACTGCTTAACAGTGACTTGGACAAGTACCTCAAGGACAGGCCAATGAAAAGTAAGCATCCAGAAGAGGACATTGTCCAGGAAAGATTTGAACAAGTTACTCTCACCAAAATCCAAAGATCTTCAAGTGAGGAGCAAACACCTACAATGTGTGAAAAAAATGTAGCCGATACAGATGAGGAGAATAAGATAATTGGAGAGACACATGAACAGAATTATGTGGTTGAGCTCAAGGAACTTGCACCGAGTTCTGTATTGGAAACACCATTCCAAGAAATCTGCATTGAGAGAAGGACACACCTCCAACAATCTACAACTGAGAAGGATATGTCAGGCATGTTGTCACTGCTCAGTTGTGACTTAGATCAATATCTCAAGGAAAAGCCAGTGGCAATACAATGCCACCCAGAAGAACATCTAGTCCACGAGAGCTACACACAAGTTATACTGACAAGTAGTAATTTGGAGGATAAGATAGATGTAGAGGAAAGTGAACACATGCAGACAGAAGAATGTGTAGTCACAGAAGTGTCACAAAGCTCTGTATTAGAAACACCTTTCCAAGAAGTCTGCATTAAGAGAAAGACACAGCAACAACAGTCTACAACTGAGAAGGATATGTCAGGCATGTGTCACGCTCAGTTGTGACTTAGATCAATATCTCAAGGAAAAGCCAGTGGCAATACAATGCCACCCAGAAGAACATCTAGTCCATGAGAGCTACAAACAAGTTATACTGACAACTAGTAATTTGGAGGATAAGATAGGTGTAGAGGAAAGTGAACACATGCAGACAGATGAAGTTGGAGTCACAGGATTGCCACAAAGCTCTGTATTAGAAACACCATTCCAAGAAGTCTGCATTGAGAGAAAGACACAGCAACAACAGTCTACAACTGAAAGAGATATGTCAGGCATGTTGTCACTGCTCAACTGTGACTTAGATCAATATCTCAAGGAGAGGCCAGTGGCTATACAATGCCACCAAGAACAGGAGGTAGTCCATGAGAGCTACAAAGAAGTTCTTCTGACAAAAGACAAAAAAAGAAAAAGTCTTACAATCTCCCCTGAACATAAGATGAAGTCACCAGAAGACACCAATTTAGACATTGTGGACATCAATAAAAAGAGAGCTTTGGAAAGTGGATTCCAAACATGTTCCTATGAAGATGAGGATTCCAAGGGTTTCTCATCTGAGGATGAGGCGAAGACCTCACCAAGTGCAGCATCACATTTAAATGACTATGCTAAAGAGACGGAGGACAGTACAAAGTCATATATGACAATGGATGACTGTAAGAATGATGATAGGGATGGAGTTGCTGCTGATGAAATTCTCAAAAAACACACATTTTTGCACCTACCAAGTGATTCTAACATACCACAACGACCAGTCGATTGGGAGAACCTAAACATTGTGGTATTTGATGACTCGGCTGAAGAACCATGCCATCGAGACTCACTAGAGGCAAGTCCTCTCATGGAGGATAGATCTTCAAAGACATCTCCTGATTCAATTGAGCCAAGCCCTACCAGAGAATCTCCTTGTCCAGACTCTCTTGAGGGAAGTCCTACTCAATCAAAGGACACAGAACTGAAGATGCCAGCCAAGGCAGCTGTGTATGAGGATTACGCCTCCCAACTAGAAGCATGCTTTGCTTACGACAAAAATATTTACAGGGATGAAAGTGATCACAATGATCAAGAAAACAACTATGAGATCATTCAAATGGAAGGTGAAATTAAGGATGACAAATATTCCACAAAGGGAGTAACAGATGGTAAGAATCTTCACATGCTCATAAGGCAAGACTCTCTCAACACAGATGATAGTGAGGATGATAGCAACAATAAACAATTCACCCCAGAAGAGGAAATGTTTAAAATGGCTGCAAGGATCAAAACATTTGAAGAGATGGAACAGGAAGCAAAAATCAAGAAAGACAAATCTTTAGATGTCACTGCACTGTCAGAAACAGCTGATCATAAAGATGATGAGCTAGATCTAAAACCTGGTCCGGATATACAGGCTTTTTCACATGATACAATACAAAAAAAATCAGAAAAATGTGTGACAGAAAGCACTTACACACTAAGTGAAGGAACAAACGATGAGAATGTAGAAATTCAGTCACAAATAAAATCTACTGAATCAGTTGACGGTTCATTGTGTTTAACTGCAACTCACAGAGAGGAACCTGATCCAGACAGTGAGGAATCTGTGCCACTCTTGGCAGAAAAAGAAGCTAAGATACACACTGATAAAGACACTGTAGAAGGTGACCGTTCCTCAGTCACTGACACACATTTTTTCAGCTGTCTGACAGATCAGCACCATCCAGATGGTGACAAAGAAATTGAGTTAAATCTTATCGACAGTTCTGTTAGCAAACCCCAGGCTATGTTGTCTACTAAAGAACTAGAATATGTTATTCCAGGGTGTGATGGTGAGAATGATGTAGTCTTCATTGCACAGGTTGAGGCCAAGGAACAGATTAATCTTTGTCCTTCAGAGGACAAAAAAACACCTGATAAAACACCTGTTCGAACAGGAAGTGATGAGAGAACCCCTGATCCATTTCAGTTTCAAGAGGGGAAGCTATTTGAAATGACCAGAGGGGGAGCTATTGATTTGACAAGAAGAAGCTTTGATGAAGATGGGGCAGGATATGCATTTTTTCACATAGGGGAGCATCCAGTTGATGAAGTTGGGCCAGAGGAGACTGGGGGAGGTCAAACAAATTTAATGGACAATAGTGGTTCTATTATAAACCTACAGGATGTCCCACAGTCATCTCTGAGTCAGGGTGCCGATGACAAAATTCCTACTCCCAAACCCAGAACTCTCATCAAATCCTCAAATGACAAAAATGAGAAGCCACTTTCTGAAGCTGATCTCGGCAGCTCTTTAGAGATTCAGCTTGGTTCCCCCAGTGCTTTGGAGAGACTAACCATTAGTCCAAGTGAGGTTGGAAGCCTTGAAAGCCTTGGTCTAGACTATCTAGACTCTACAATAGCTGACCTTCAATCAGACACATCCACAGTTGCCCATTCAGGGTACGCAGAGCAGAGTCACGATTCCTCAGACTCCTCTCCTGATGATGATGAAGAGGAGGAAGATGATGAAGACCAGTGCTCAGTCATAGAGATGTCCTTTCCAGCTGCACAGGCTGGCATTGCAGCATTTCATCAGGATTCACCCCCACCACTGGCAATCCGACCAGGCAGCATGATTAAAGAGGAAATAACCATGGAAGACTCACAGATATCTGAGCTGAATCAGGTTAAAAGGAAATCCGAAAAAAAGTCAACTTTGGCTCGCAGGACTAGATCTGAGGCTGATAGTCACACAAGTAAAGCCTCTAATAAAGACAGCAGGAGTTATTCTGACAGTAGTCAACCCACTAATGACCTGTCTTCCTGCAAACTTCCTGTCATGACACAACAGAAACCTCTAGCTCAGACGATCTCCTCCTCTCCCCAAAGGAAAGAAATACAATTCTCTAAGACTACAAATACATCTGTTAGGTCTTCTTTGGATGCTGATGATATCAGCAGCGGTAGTCAAAGGAGTCCAGATTCTGTTATCTTCACATATGACACTCAAGCCTTGCACAGTTCCGATTCTGATGGCAATCCGTTGCCGGGTGTGCAACAATCTTCCGGGACAGGGGACGAATTTGAATCCAGGCCTGCCTGGGATGACACGGTGGAAACTCAGATGCAGACAATCATCGATGACCAAACTGCAGAATGTATGTCAGGTATGGCTAGACCTACATAGGCTTTTGCTTTCCTATCTCTTCTCCTCGGCAGCAAGACCCCTTTTCCTCTTCCTAAGAACATAATGTCACCATTTGTCATTTTGTGTTGTTTTCGTGTGTGTTGTGATTTGTTTAGTCCCTCTTGCATTGTGTATCTTTGTGTGTATGTGTGTGTGTGTGTGTCTGTTATGAATGTGTTTTGTAAGTTACTTTTCCATCTGTATTTGTGTTTATGCAATCTCAAGATTGAATGGCCAAGTTGGTTCAAGAAGTAGTAGCTTTAACAATTTTCCATTATTGTATTGGTATTATATATTGATATCTGTACTACTAATACAGCTTTACTAATAGTAGCATGCACATTGCTTATTAGCACATTATTGACATTTCTGACACTAATGATTAAAAAACGATGTGCTAATTGTGACCAAATAGTGAGTCAACTCCTCGTCACAGTAACGAATCCAACCTTTATGTTATCATCCATTTCAACATCACAGATCCACATTTAATTTCAGAGTATTACAGCCCATAACATAGAAAAAAAGAAATAGAGGAAATTCATCTAGATCTAAATCTAGAGTGACTGGTACCTGCAATGTGACAAAACTCTTACTTTGAGGTACATAGTATTTTACATCTTAGACTGTTATTGACTGATATTAAGATTTAATGTCTGGCTCTGACGGCATTTTTTAGTGGATTGGCAGGATGATGCTGACAGGAAAGAGGAGACACTAGCTATCATTGCAGATCTCCTTGGCTTCAGCTGGACTGGTAAGCTGTGAAATCATGCAATCCTTTTCTGTTTTCAATTTAGGGAAAAGTAATATGTAGTGCATTTCATTTTGTTTGAATTGAACTGTTCAAACTGATGTATTTGTGAATAGAACTGGGGGAATAGCTGGGGTATCCCTGTTATTGCAGCAAAACACACAAAATACATTTGTTTTGTTATCTATCCCCCCAGAGCTGGCAAGAGAACTGGAATTCAGTGAGGATGATATCCAATTAGTAAGAACAGACAATCCTAATTCTCTCCAAGAGCAGAGCCATGCCTTGCTGCAGCGCTGGGTTGAGCGGGAAGGCAAACATGCCACAGGTAAACTGTGTTTTGTTCCGGCAGATTTTACTAGTATTTGTCCATATAGTACTTCAAATTCTTTAAACACTGCTGATTTTTATGTGTGAACACAGGCTATAAAAATGTATTTTATCTTTGATGTTGAATCTATCAAATGATTTGTGTTTTTATTAGACAAATATTCATACTGTACATTCAATGTAATCTTGCATTTGCAATTCTTTTATAATTTCTTTGTTTAATTTCATGTTTTTTTACTGTCTATTAATAATTGATATATCCTTCCACAGAAGACTGTCTGATTAAGAGACTAACCAAGATAAACCGCATGGACATCGTCCATCTTATTGAAACCCAGATGAACAAGTCAGTTCAAGAACAAACATCTCGAACTTATGCAGAAATAGAGAAGACACTGGATCACAGTGAAGGTAGTAACACCTTTAAACATTAATTTCAGTAACCAGTTTGAAGGTTATATCTGACACCAGGCTCCGTTTATGTGTGTGTTTTCAGTGTCAGTAGCCCTTTCTTCAGTGCAAGAGGATGCAGACAGCCCCAGAGTTGTGAGAAGGGTGGAGTCAGACCGCAGACCACCCCCAGCTGTTTCTGAAGAGGATCTCTCAGTTGCTTCCCTACTGGATATTCCTTCCTGGGCAGAGCCTATTGGTCACACTCACTCAGAGAGCATGCACGGTGACCTGTTGGAGGACCTAGAGATCCCACAGTAAATTATTCATTTCCTGAATCTGCAACATACATCTCCAGAGTAATGTAGTGTCATTGGACAGATTTCAACACCCATAGCACACACAAGAAATGTCATATAGGCATAAAGACATAAAGTAGTAAAAACTGCTACTTTTCTGGAGATCAATATTTCCCTGCATATCGATGCTACGAAATGGAACAATGGCATATCTTGATGCAAAGAGTGTGCATGCTTACATAGAACTCAAATGGGTGCAGGTATTTGGCCAGTGCCCATTGTTTGTGGGTGTTACTCTTTAGCTTTGTGGGCTCTTCATGCAAAGTCATATTTTGTAACCTAACCTTTTTTTTGTGTTACAGTGAATTGAACCCTAACCTGTGGACTTCTGAGGATGTAATTGCACAAGAACCTACAACTTACGACAACTCAGATGAGCAAGTAAGTACACTCCTCATTTCAAAAGAAGCAGCATTGGAGAGTCAAGGAACTCAGGTTTATGACCCCAAAGTGAAAGACCAGCAAGATTGCTGCAGTGTTGAAGCTGATTTCATCAGGCCTTTCCAAGGTGGCGCTCACTGCCAAGTCAAAGATGACTGCAGCCAAACCTTACCATTGAAGCAGCGTGATTGTGAAGATGAGCGAGGGCGATCATATGAAATCCTGAAGTTATCATCCATATCTATCAGAGACTTTGGCCTGAGCCTATCAGAATCAGACCAGGCTGAAACTGACTTCAGTGAGCTTTGTGATGAGTTTAGCTATGCAACACAACTTGGCAAAACAGACACAGCTAAATCCACTCTCGGAAGCATCTCTGACCTTCTGTTAGTTTTGTCACCACAGGACCACCAAGCAACTCTGGCCATAACTGAAGATGACACAGATGTAGTTAAAAAAAACAGGCTCTCTCAGAAGGTCCCACAGGTTTCTAGTGGGGATATGGGCTTCAAGCCCAAGGAAGAAAACACAAAACCCCAAGTATACACTGATGGGTGTACGAAAAACATGCCTTTCATTGATGATGATGATGTCCAGTCAATTGAACACAGTATTTCTACAGCTAAGTACAGCATGATGAAATCATACAAAATGAAAGTACCAAAAACCGATTTGCCACATGTGACATGTGACTCAACTGATAGGCACTGTAATTACTATTCTGTTAGTCCAGACAGTGACCATGTCATAGTTAGGGCAAAAAGAAAAGGTCTTTTCCTACCTGTCACCCATCTTGCACCCCAATCACCTGATCAAGATGTGACATTAGCTTCCACTTTTCTGGAATACAGCCCTTTGACCCCTGATTCTTTGGCATCTGAGGATCAGTGTGGCTCATTTTCACCAGTTGATGAAACAGGTCTCTTCCTTTCAGAGGCATGGATATTAAATGACCCCATACATAGACTGTCATCTCCTGACTCTGTCATGTCAATTTCTGATTATAGGGCAATGTCACCTGACTCTCCATTGGGAGAAAAGGGGGTCTTCCCTGACTTTTCCAGTATACTGGATGACAACCGGGCACTCTCTCCCAGATCAGATGTACATAGTTCAGCAGAAGTTACAATTAATTTAACTGAAAATAAATTACACCCCAATCAAAGACATACATTTGAATGTAAACCACAGTTTGAAAGTTCAAAAGATTTTTCAACTGCTGAAATTTTACAGTCCCTTTGTTCTGACTCCTTTGAGTCTTGGAATAAGTATAGGCCACTGTCCCCTGACTCTCAACTACCTAAATATAGTCCTACACCTGAAGGTCCACAGGTAAAGGGAGGGTTTAGAGCATTCTCACCTTTGACACCAGATACTGAGTGTGAGAAGTTATTGTGTCACGTTTCTTCTGTTAGAAGTGCATCTTCACCTGACTCAGTTACAAATATTCATGGATTTGGGCCTTCAAATAAGGACTGCCGACCAACCTCGCCAGATTCTCAGGCTTCTCAGTGCAGTTTCTCATTTCTTGAACTCTTGCTCTCTGAACCTGTCCGAGAACAACTTATGAGTCAATATTGTGATTATTATTTACTATATTCAGGAGAAAATCCACCCTCACCACTGCTGATGTCAGCCCCAAAACCAGATGAGGAAATTAGTACATCTTTCCTTGATTACTGGTTTTCTAACTTGAAACCACAATCTTCTGAATACATACCATCACCAGATGAGTCAGATAATCATTTAACAAATATTAGACAAGACACCTCAGAACACAGTAAATTACAAGAATCCACTGATTTGTATTGCATGAAAGACGCATCCAAAAGACCACCATGCTCAGAACACAGAAATCACAAACAATCTGTTGATACTTGTCATATGTACAGTCATGTACCAGTACCAAAACCAATGGTTTTTAACTTAGTTGAGAGACAAAACTACATGTTAGAGTTTCCAAATACTGTGGTTCAAAGGTTAAACACTGGAGAGTCATTACTTAAAACTGAAAGCACAGAGTGTAAGTATACATTATTTGGTGGCAAGACATTAAACCAACAATTACAGGTCTCAAGTAAATCTGTTCAAAACATATTGGGTGAAACAAAACAGGATTCTCAAAAGTCAAGATGTCTTTCAGACTTCACGGTGGACTGGTTGTTAGACTTTAGAGCATCCTCCCCAGAATCTGTTGTGTCAGTTGATCAGCGCTGTTTGTCTCCTCGGATGACATTTGGCCAGATTAATAGTCAACATTGTAACTATTACTTACAGTACTCTGACAGTAGACCCATATCACCTATTTCAACAATGTCAGATGTTGAGTATTCTGGATTTTATCTTGAGGACTTGTTTGACGACAACAGACCAGATTCACCAGACTCATTTTCTTTAC